GCCCCAAAACACAAGGCGACAAAATGTCCAACTAAAAGCTTCAAACAGGAGTAAACAAATTACTGGGTGATGCAATTCATGCTGCCATATTTTATATACAGCAAAGAGCAAACAGATGCAAAGGTCAGTATTTATTCCTGTGAGTGAAAGGCCTGATTATTATTTACAGTCTATTTTTAACACTTTCAGTTCATTTATTTTCATAAATAACACGTAAACAAAACAAATGAAAGCAGCCGTAGAAGGAGAGAAAAAGGCAAAGACAGAGGAACAAGTGCTAAAATGTGGCTTTAAATATATGCAAACTGAAAGAGAGAGAGACATAGGGAATGGCCAAGAGGAAGGAGAGAGGGAGGGAGTGATGAAGGACAAAATGGAGAGTGAGTGGAAATGAGGGAGGGCGAGAGAGCGATAGAGAGAGATAAAAAGAGGAGAAAAGAGGGAAAGATAAATAATTAAATGACTGTGTTTGGCTGGAGAACAGAGGGGAGATGGAGGGATGAAGGGGAGGAGGAGGAGGAGGGAGGCAGGGAACAGAAGGCTGATTATGGCACACACTTGGGAAGTGAAGCAGTCTCACACATACTGTATGTAATGCTGATAATGTGTCGACGTTTACACACGTGTAGCTTCAGCTGGCGATTATCGCAGGTACTCGCGCACACTTAACGTCCGCCCACACGTCACAGCAACCGAACACGCGCTGCTGATACACCAGACCACAACACAATCAAGCGTCGGATCAAACACAAACGCACACGCATTTGACTCCTGCTGCCAACACACACACGCGCGCTCTGTACAGCCATTTTCCAAGAAATCAGAGACATGTTGGGGTTTTTTCAGTGCTGCCATATTAAAAAGCATCAGACAGAAAACACACACAGTGAAGACTGACTGTAGAATCACAAACACAAAAACAAACACATTTTAGCAAGAAATCACCGCCACCAAGGAAAGCTGGAGTCCCTGATTCCAGATGGATTTTTGCAACAGAAATAAAAGTCTCTTTAATATTTATTCATACAGCTGTATATGTGCAATGATAAAGAATCCATCCATCCTGAAAGTGTGAGATACACTCCCTAATTTCCTTCGGGATTAATAAAGTATTCTGATTCTGATTCTGATTAAAATTTCCAGTAACAAATAGTTTTCCTGAGACACAAAGATCATCATGCAATCTGACTTCTATTCACAATCTCAGATCCACTCTGACCATAAGCAAACGAAGTGTTAATGATTCATGTTACAGACTCATGCCTCTTCTCCCTCAAGGGAAGTTGAGTCACTATAGTGTGTAAACAGATGCTAAACCTTTGAGATGGATGGATGCACTTGTATTCATTCGGTCTAAAATTACAAAACACATTAAACAACATTTTTGCAAATGTGCCAAATTACTAAACTGACTGATGTGCTACTCTTAACCCATGACTCTTTGAGAGGAACAGCTGATGGTGCTTAGACTGTAGACAAAGACTGACGTAGCTTCTCTTTCTGGAAAGTGAAGTCAGCACAGAAGGCGGTAAAGCCTGTGGTTTCAAAAAAAGATGTCTATGAGGAAATGAAGCTACTTCTCACTTGACCTGTGATCTTATTGGATATATGAGTAAAAATGGCAGAATGTCATAGTGCAGGGGTGTCGAACTCCAGGCCTCGAGGGCCGGTGTCCTGCAGGTTTTAGATCTCACCGTGGGTCAACACACCTGAATCAAATGATTAGGTCATTACCAGGCTTCTGGAGAACTTCAGGATATGTTGAGGAGGTCATTTAGCCATTTAAATCAGCTGTGTTGGATCAAGGACACACATAAAACCTGCAGGACACCGGCCCTCGAGGCCTGGAGTTCGACACCTGTG